GACTAAAAGTTTCAGTTGCATTATTAAAATATATCAAAGCATTACAAATTTTTTCACAGGTGTCGATCTCAGCCGAGTTTATAATATAATTATCATATTGTTTCATAAAAGCAGGAAAATGTTGTTTATATCTAAGAAGAACTCCAATTAACTTATAGGTACTATTCCAACGAATAGACAAATCTTTTGGAAAAGCCACATATCTCTCACCTCTTTCTATCAAATAATCATACCATTTTTTCCTAAGGTGTCCATTACCCCAAATACGTCTAATCCCCCCCTTGACTACCTCCAACGATGCTCCCAACGCTTTTAGACCATCTTGCACACATAAATTTAGAACATGACATGCACATCGTTGATGAAAAAATCTACCCATCAAAGAAGTAGAACCACACAATTCACGCAATCTAGGAATAGCAGCAGTATTATTAGTAGCATTATCAAAACCAATAGCAAACACCTTATCAATTAAATTATACTCAATTAAAATACGTTCAATCAAAATATAAATATGTTCAGCGGTGTGACGATCATTAAATTCACGGAAAGCAAGAACACGTTTATGCATATGCCAATCATTATCAATATAATGTACAGTCAGACCCAAATAATGTAAATTATGATAAGTATCCTCCCATATGTCAGAACATACAGTAACACGTCCATCAAAGTTTGCAAAATAATTTTGTAACCTTACCTTTTCCGCACCATAAAGCCTTGAAATTTCTTTCTTAACCGTTTTGCGACTATAACCTCTATATTGCGGATTTAAACAAGTTTGTGCATAATCACGAAAAGCAAGACTTTCAGAAAACAAATAAGGCAAATTTTCTTCAACAAGTAAGTTAGCCATACCTGTCAAATTTTGTGCATCATTGTATGAGAAATTACCAAAAGCTTGTTGGTTATTTGCAAACCTCGATATTTGCGTTTGTTTCCCCGTTCCGCCGCCTAATTTTGCATACTCCACCGGGTGTTTGGACTTAAGGTGTCTTGTGGCGGATCCGTATCCGCCGGAAATCCCCAAGCTATAGTTTTTCTTGCACCAATTGCAAGTTGCGGTCCAATTCCCGGTGTTCGGGTCCTTCCACTTAGAAAAATTATTAGCCATTAATTCAGATTTACTTTTTTTTGTACCTGTTTGGGATGAGGCTGCTTGGTCGGCATCATGGCTGCCGCCACCCTCCTCCTCCTCGTCGTCGTGGCTCTCCGGAATTGCTTCCTCCACATCGTCGTCCTCGTCCTCGAGCTCTTCTTCGTCAATGGTCCTCGGTTGGTCTTGAAAAAAGCGGGAATTATGTCGGTGCAATTCTTGTTCTAGTTGTTCGTCGATCATCGCATCCTCATCCCTCCTTACGTAACCCGTATCAAAATCATCTTGACTTTGAGATGAAGAGCCGATATGTGATTTACCTTTGCGGGATCTCTTCCTCGCAAGCTCTTTCGTTCGGTTGCGCTCGAGGTTACCCATATCAACCGAATATCTAGGACGATCCATCTAAAAAATGTAGCGATTAATAAAAAATTGTAAAAAACTAATTAACTATTTATCTAACTATTAATTCGAGTTATAGCAAATTAAGTAGTGAATTAACTAGTTTTGTGTAAAACATATTTTTTAAACTAGAGTCAAATGTAGCAATTAATAAAAAATTGTAAAAAACTAATTAACTATTTATCTAACTATTAATTCGAGTTATAGCAAATTAAGTAGTGAGTTAACTAGTTTTGTGTACAACATATTTTTTAAACTAGAGTCAAATGTAGCCATTAATAAAAAATTTTAAAAAACTAATTAACTATTTATCTAACTATTAATTCGAGTTATAGCAAATTAAGTAGTGAATTAACTAGTTTTGTGTACAACATATTTTTTAAACTAGAGTCAAATGTAGCCATTACTAAAAAATTGTAAAAAACTAATTAACTATTTATCTAACTATTAATTCGAGTTATAGCAAATTAAGTAGTGAATTAACTAGTTTTGTGTAAAACATATTTTTTAAACTAGAGTCAAATGTAGCAAATTAACTAGTAATTAAACAAGTGTAAATAATAGAATAATTTCGTACCTCTTTCGGACTTTCGGTCTTTCGGATGGGAGTAATAGAATGACTTCAAATTAATTAGATATAATTCCAACTATATTAATAGATATAATAAATATATAAGTAATATATAATTAGATAACAAATATAAGTAATATAATACTATTTATATCTATTTATAGTTTATATAAGTAGATAATTAATATAAACTATAAATAATAAATATAATATATTGGAGAATGGAGAATAAGAGAATTAGAGAGTAGAGAGTTAAGAATAGGATTTAGGAAGAATTGGAGAAGAGATATGAAAAAATGTTTAAGATTAGGAGTATTTATAGGTTTTTTTACCCCCCACCCCCCCCCCACCCCCCCCACCCCCCACCACCCCCCCACCACCCACCCACCCCGGACCCCCCTATAACCCACCCAACGGCTATATAGCCGTTTGGGTTGTCCCCAACCCCACCCCCAACGGCTAGTAGGAGCCCAACCCAAAAAAACTTTTTTTTTTAAAATTGATCGAACCGGACCCGGGCCGGGTCACAAAAATGCTGAACCGAGCCCGCCCCGCCCCTTCCCCCCGGTTCGGGCCCAGACCCGGTCCCGGACCGCCCGACCGGGCCGATCCCGGGCCCGCACAGTACCGGGCCGGGCCGGGTCACGGGCCGGATGGCCCGAACCGAATCCATCCCTACCTCCATATGGAGCCCGATCAGTGAGGCCTATTTCAAGCTATGCGATTTATAATTTGGAACAAGAGTAGCATATATCCTGAATGGCACCCCGACCATGGCATGGAATTCAATACATAATTTTCATAATTATTGTGCATTTAATGTTTATACCGCAAGTCCCATAAAAAACTGTCATATTTGAACTTGTCTAGTCTAGTTAAAAGCTTTAGCTTGACCAATACAATATGAAAATCTATAATTCACAATATATATACTACCTTTGTTGTTTTGAGATGAAGACATGAGGTAACTGTTCACTTATTAAGAAAAGTAAAGTTATGTAATTGATGTTGAATTGACAAAATGCAAAAAATGTAAGATTGAATTAAAACAAAAAATATACTCCCTCCGTCCCCCAATTAAGTTACGAGATGAATTTCATACATATTAAGGAAATAAATTTACAGGGGGGCTAAATTTTACTATTTTAACACTGTTTGGCACTGTTTTGCACTGTTTGGACATTGTTTTGCATTGTTTGACACTGTTTTGATTAGACAATTTGCCAAATAAGGAAAGTAAGGAAGTGTGAACTTAACTTAGGAACTGCCAAAAAAGGAAAGTGGTAACTTAATTGCGGGACGGAGGGAGTATTACTTAATATAATATGAGACAAACGTAGTGGGATGAAGAGAGTACTAATACAAATCATTGATCAAAGTTAACATTATTGACCAAGAGAGGAAAAATGGTAAACTTTTATGCAAAAGAGGGTTTAACACGTTTTTAAATCATAAGCGATTAGTGTGCGGAATGGACTGGACATTAACTTAAATAGCTTTTAATCTTTTAATAATTGTTAATCTTTTAATAATCGTTAATCTTTTACTTTACATATTCAACTTTTATCAAATTTGTTTTTTTTTGTTTTTTTAATAAAATTGTTAATGTACTTTCTGAATATATAAACTTTATTTGCTAATAACAACGCGAGTATACACAAGGATCGATTTACTTTATTATCTGTATTAACATTGTAAACCAAAATGACTACTTATCTAAGAGACGAACAGAGTACGATAGTATATAGGAAGGAGTATACAGAAAATAAATAACATTTGTCACAAATTCACTTAAAAATATTTTAAAACACAATTAAAAAGTTACAAAAATTAAAGCAGAGAGGCACACAAGCAGACAAGCTAAAGTCCTGTATCACTCCAAGTCTCCAACATTTTGCGGTTTGGTAAAAAGTCTTTATGTAAGAACACTTCTGAAACTTAAGGTGTAAAGTTTAAAATATGTAAACACAATATTTATCATGGTATTAAAAGTATAAAACCACCAAAAGTATGGATTATTGGTATGAATTTCACCTATTTATGTAACTCCAATTGCTATTCTCGACTCTCGAATGTAAAAGTCATACGGAGTATAAGAGATTGTTTTTATGTGCTCACAGGGTGGAGATAGGGAAGGATCTGAGGGGGCCTTGACCTCGGCAAGAAAAAAATTCTTAAGTATTTATTATGTATAAATACTTTGAATCTAGAGAAAATATGATGATATTTTAAATTTTGGCCCTCACAATGTAAAAATCTCAAAGCTCAATCCCTTAACCATATATTTCTGACTCTGCCATTATGTAAACATACAACATATTTTCTTAAAAAAATAATTGATTCTAAACATACAAGATTTTCCTTTAGACTTGCTGAGTTGCTTCAATTTCAAACTTTTGGTCTCAAAACTAAAACTCCTAAATGTGGTAGCCATATTGGAATTGGTTATTTATTTATACTATCCTCCGCATTAATTTCAACATTGGAATATATACACTATTCATGTACTTTACTTTGACTACGTTTTATTTATTAACGTAAGTGAATTATTTTTTTTGAAAAATATTGTTAAATTCATCTCATTACTAAGTTTTATAATCTGATTTTTATTTTATTTTTACTAATACAAAATTAAATATAATGACGGTCAAAGTTGTGCGTTGGCAAACGTAAAATGTTGACCGTTGCAATTAAAAAGAGACGGAGGAAGTACTAATTTATTTAGTGTTTGTCTAGTTTCAAAGCGTTTAGAAAAGTTATTGAATGGTTTGTAATTATAACTAGACTAGAATAAGCTTTGTTTGCTAATAATTGCTATGATTCTTTCTGTTTACCTTTGTTTAATTTCAGTTTGGTTATGGAGATTTTTGGTTTAATTGTATGGTTTTATTTCAATGTATTCAGTTTGGGTTCGTACATAAGGAGTATTAATATTAATCAATTTGCAAAACAATACTCCATTTCTTCGAGAACTTAAATAATAAGAGCGGAACAACCCTAACCCCGCCGCCGTCCTCAGGCACTCCTGTCTCTCCTCTCTGAAATGTCGTTTAGACACGTTGCAAGATCCAGAGTCTTCATTTCTCTCATCTCCACTAAACAACTCTACAACACACCTGCCGCCCCAGCAGCAGCCGCGGCGAAACTCTCATGTCCTTGTGCTCCCTTGGCGTCGCCGTTTTTTCCGACCTTCCACTCCGGAAATGGCCGCGGGTACCACGACGGGCGGCCCAGAGGCCCGCTGTGGAGAGGGAAGAAGATGATAGGAAAGGAGGCTCTTTTCGTGATACAAGGCGTGAAGAGATTCAAAGACGACGAAGAAAAGCTGGATAAGTTCGTGAAAAATCACGTGCTTCGGCTTCTGAAATTGGACATGATTGCGGTACTCAACGAGCTCGAACGGCAAGAGGAGGTCTCTCTCGCGGTCAAGGTAATTGCACCAATTTTCTGTTTATTTGCAATGGATGGATGAATTTCAGCTTTGACAATGAATGACAATTGCGACTACTTCAGATCTTTAAGGTGATTAGGGAGGAAAAGTGGTACACTCCAGATGTTTATCTGTACAAGGACTTGATAATCGCATTAGCTAGACGGAAAAAGATGCAAGAAGCGATGGAGTTATGGGAGAGCATGAGGAATGAAGATCTGTTTCCAGATTCACAGACATATACTGAAGTTATTAGAGGGTTCTTGAGGGATGGGTCTCCAGCAGATGCGATGAATGTTTATGAAGATATGAAGAAATCTCCATACCCACCAGAACAGTTGCCTTTCAGGATTTTGTTAAAGGGGCTTTTGCCACACCCTTTGCTCAGGAACAGGGTGAAACAAGACTTTGAGGAGATCTTCCCCGATCAACGTGTTTATGATCCTCCAGAAGAGATATTTGGTTTAAGCTGATTCAGGTCTAGATGCATTTATGCATAATCTTGAATCTAGTGTTACATTTAATAAACGATTACAAACTTCACTCCATCTAATGATATCTGTATGAATGTGAACTAGCCAAAAAACCTCATTTTTCTTCTAATGTGTGTGATTGCAAGATGTAGCGCCAGTTTTGTAGCCATATAGCAGACTAACCAGAACAAGAAGTTTCTTTGAATGGCAGACAAGAAGCTGAATGAGTAGTATGTTTTCTTTCTTTGAACAAATGGCAGATATGGATTTTAACTTTCCCTTTCAAGAAATTCAACCAAACTACTGAAGCAGGCTCACATACTCAAGATGGTGTTTAAACATAGAACAGGGCCAAGTGTATAAGCATCAACAAGAGGGACCTGTGGGAAGTGGTGATGGGCTGAGATATATCCCAACTTTTCAGCTCTAAGAATGTGCGACATGCTTCTTGCACTGTTTTTTGCAGGCTTGCAGCAAGGAAAAAGAAAACTCAAATCATTCAAACTTCAAAGGCAGTTTTGGTAGATTAGGAGGCTTTCTTCCGGCCATGAGAAGACTTCTGATTCGTAGGACTGACTAATGGGCATTTGTAAGAATCAATAATCATAGGATATCAATTCTCAAAACCACAGCTTGTGTATCTAGGTTTGTTCAATATGTTATGGCTGAAGCGGACTTTGGCTGATTAATCCGATCAGTTCATCTATTGTCAGCAAGTAGGATGTTCATGACTCTCAATTGCAGGATCGTAACCCATCTGTATATGACAATAATACAATATGTGTTCTACCAATTTCATGCAGATATATTCGGAGTATATTAATGTATATGTATGCATTGCCTGCCCTGGCTACAAAACCATGAACAAGTACAACTTACTTGTCTCATATAGGAATAAAATTAATATACGGAGTAGTAGTTAATAATGAAGTAAAAAATGATGCGTAATTATGTATTTGGTAAGAAAGTAAAATTATCTTTTATAAATTAACTTATTAAAGTAATAGAAATTCTGATGTAGCTAGAGATGGACACGGGTCGGGCTCGGGTGGTACCGGTTCTGGAAAAGTGGAGACCGGTACCGGCCGGTATGCTCCGATATTGGTTCCAATCCGGGGCCTAAATAGTACTGGGCCCGGGTTGGTACCCACCCACTTAATTAAAAAAATTAAAAAAAAAAGCCGTTGGGCTGGGCGTCGGGATCGGGCCCAAAAAATCAAGCTCGAATCCTGCCCCTTACAACCGCTAGTCCGGGTGTCAGGTTGGTACCTGTCTCGGAACACCAGGCCCGAGCCAGTACCAGCCCCGGCGGCACAGGCCCAGTCCATCCCTACATGTAACCACGTAGGAGTAAAACAAGATAGATTTTCTCAAATAGGATTGATCATGTATGTTTCCCGCCTAAATAGGAGTATTTACTCCTGTTTTAAAACATACGCAATTTTTCATCTCATTCCTTTATTGCACCTTCTCTTTAGCACATTAGAGCATCTCCAATATGAATATCAATTGCACCCTATAAAAAAGGACATGTCATCCATATAGATAGCCCGTGAAGATTGTGAGATAATTGGGAAAACCGTACTCCAATAGGAGTCCTGGCAGGTATATTTATAGTAAAATAAGAGTTGCCAAAATACACAAGGATTCCTAATTTATATTAACTATTACACCCCCTCAAGCTGTGCGGGAGATACAACGCGCAGGTTGTCTTTTAAAAAATGAAACTGCTGACTAGATAAACTTTTAGTAAAAATATCCGCAAGTTGCAAACGTGTAGGAACATACTTCACGACCAGATCACCATCGGCCACTCGCTCACGAACAAAATGATAATCAATTTGAATATGCTTGTTGCGTGCATGCTGAATAGGATTAGCTGTCAGGTAAGAAGCAGAGATATTATCACATAATAACTGAACAGGCTCGCGGATTGGATAACCAAGCTCAAATAGGACCGATCGAATGTGTAATGTGTCTTGCACTGTATATGCAATGACACGGTATTCAGCTTCAGTAGAAGATTTAGAGACTGTAGGCTGCTTCTTGGACTTCCATGAGACAAGGTTGGGACCCAAGAAAACAGCGAAACCTGTAGTAGAACGAGAGGTATCCGGACATCCTGCCCAATCAGCATCAGAATAAGCCAAAACACACATAGGGCGAACAGACTTCTGAAGCCATAATCCGTGATCAATGGTTCCCTGTAAGTAACGAAATATGCGCTTGACAGCAAGCATTTGAGTGGTGCGTGGAGCATGCATAAATTGAGACACTAAATGAACTCCATAAGTAATATCAGGTCTTGTCAAAGTTAAATACTGTAATGCACCTACCATACTACGATATTCCGTAGCATCAGACAAAAGTTCTCCATCAGTGAGGGAGAGAGACGTACGAGTGGCTAATGGCGTACGAACAGACTTGAGAGTGTGTAAATGAAAACGAAGAAGAAGATCTGAGACATATTTTTGTTGAGAAAGAAACAAACCTGTAGATGTGCGAACAGCTTGGATCCCCAAAAAGTAATGGAGATCACCGAGATCTTTCATAGCAAAATGTGAAGCAATGCATGCAATGAAAGAGGACACAAGAGAGGGAGAATTGCCAGTAATAATGATATCATCGACATATAGTAATAAATACATAACTGACTTCCCTTGACGAAAAATAAACAAAGAATTATCGGACTTACTACACACAAAATTATGAGTTCGTAAGAAACTACTGAATCGATGAAACCACGCTCGCGGAGCCTGTTTTAGACCATAAATAGCCTTGCGCAAACGACACACATGATGGGGAAATTGAGGATGAACAAAACCCCGCGGCTGACGCATATAGACCTCTTCAGTAAGATGGCCATGAAGGAATGCATTTTTCACATCCAATTGACGCATAACCCACCCAAAAGAAATAGCAAGTGTAAGAACTATACGAACTGTGGTGGGTTTAACTACAGGACTGAAAGTCTCAGAGAAATCAACACCAGCCTGCTGATTAAATCCTTGAGCAACCAAACGTGCTTTATGGCACTCAATAGACCCATCAGAATGAAATTTAGTTTTGTAAATCAATTTAGATCCAACCACATTTTTAGATTTAGCAAACGGGACTAACTCCCAAGTAATATTAGAGATAAGTGCATTAAATTCATCTGTCATAGCCTCACGCCAAATTAAATGTTTCTGAGCCTCAGAGTAACAAGTTGGATCAGGTGCACTAATAACTGTGTTTAATGTAAAAATTGATCTGGGTTTAAAAATACCGGACTTAGCCCGGGTTTACATGGGATGAATATTAACCTGGTGACCAAGGGAGCTTGTGGAGTGAGAGGCGGGTGAACTCGAGACATGGGGTGGAGAACTGGCTATTGAATTGGGCGAAGGCATTACTGATGTGGTCTTGGTGTCGGCAGAAGGTGGCGCATGTGTGGGAGTGGTTTCTGGTTGGGTGGCGGAAGAAAGGGTTGGTGAAGTTAACGAAGTACTGGTTGGGTGGTGTCGGGTGCTGTGGTGACCGGGACAGGAGAGGTTGGTGTCGGTTGCTGTAGTGGTCGTGAGTGTAGAAGTGGCCCTGCAATGTGTTTGGAACGTGGCATAGGAGGAGGTATAGGGGCACGTATGGTGTTGGGAAGAGTTAATTGGGGAAAGTCAGAGGAAGTGGATGACTCAGAGAAGGAGGATGATAAAGAGGAGAAAGGAAAGTTATTTTCTAGAAACTTAACATGACGGCTGACATAAACTCTACCAGACTTAGGTTCAAGACAACGATACCCTTTATAACCAGATGCATAGCCAATAAAGACACAGTGAATAGAACGGGCTGAAAGTTTATTTGCAGAAGATGCATAAATATTTGGAAAACACGAATATCCAAACACACATAAAAGCATAATCAGGAGATTTTTGAAAGAGTCTTTCATATGGAGAAAAGTTACCAAGCAAGGGAGAAGGTAAACGATTAATAATATATGCAGCAGTAAAAATGGCATCTACCCAAAACTGGCTAGGAATAGAGGCTTGAAGAAGCATAGTCCTAGTAATTTCGAGCAGATGTCGATGTTTTCGTTCAGCCACCCCATTTTGTTGAGGTGTGTCAGGACAAGATTTGCGAAAATAAATTCCATGAGTATCAAAAAATTGCTGCATATTAGTATTAACAAATTCACCCCCTCCATCACTTTGAAATTTTTTAATTTGAGTGTTAAAAAGATTTTCAACTAAAGATTTAAAAGATTTAAAGTGATGAAAAACTTCAGTCTTTGTGCGCAAGGGATACAGCCAAGTGTAGCGAGAGAAGTCATCAATAAAACAGACATAGTATTTAAAACCTAAATTAGATAAAATAGGAGATTGCCAAACATCAGAATGAATTAATTGTAAAGGCATTGTAGAATTATGACTAGCAACCGTAAAGGGTAAACGTTGAGATTTGCCTAAGCGGCAAGAAATACAGTCATGAGATAACTTAAAGTTACTAGATATATGATGTTGACTACGTAAAGTATTTAAAATAGAGTTGCCACAGTGGCCTAATCTATGGTGCCAAAGAGAGCTAGACGAATCAAGAGAAGTCAAAGCAAGCGGTGACTGAGGGCTGATGCTGACTGGATATAGATGACCTTGACTAGGAGCTTGAAGAAGGATGGTCCCCGTGATTTTGTCCTTAACAAAAAAAGAATTTCTATCAAAAATTACATAACAGTTATTATCAGCACAAAGTTTCTGAATGGATAATAAATTGAATTTAATGTGAGGCACATGAAAAACAGATTTTAACGTGAGGGGACGACCAGAAGAATGTAAATGAACATCTCCAATATTAGCAATGGGAAGCTTAGAACCATTAGCTACACTAACAGAAAGTGGTCCAGTATAAACAGATTTATTAACTAAAATACCTTCCGTAGGAGTCATGTGAGCCGAAGCCCCAGAGTCAGGGTACCATAAAGCAGTGTTGGAGTCACCATTGGAAGTTAACAGAGCTGGTGCAGACGGTGGAGCATAACGAGAGGGACACTGAAGTGCAGAATGACCTGCATAAAAACAAAGCTGACAAACAACAGGTGGTGGAACAGAACCAAGAATTCCCTCTCCTGATGAAAAACCTGCAGAGCTAGTGTGAGTATCATAAGTAAAATAGGGATTAATATTTAAAGTTGACAAAATAGAATTACTTGCAGAACCTGTAGTGTTCCCTTGAGAATTAGGCACCCCCTGAGTTGAAGCATACGGATGACCGAACCCCTGCTGCCCGAAGCCCTGCTGGACAGATCCGAATCCATGTTGCGGAGCATGTGCAGGCTGCTATGGAGCATAAAACGGCGCGGCCTGGTGCTGATACCCATACGGTGGTCCCCTGCCGCGTCCGCGGCCCTGCCTGCCGCGTCCCCTGCCGCGGCCCCCTCTGCCGTGATTGGGGTAGCCAGCTGGAGGCTGACCTCCTGCCGCAGCAGCCGCGAAGGCTTGATGTCCAGCGGCTGGTTGTTGTTGGCGTTCAGACAAGACCCGTTGCTCCTCCTCCAACAGTCGGGGTTGTAGAATATCATAGGGAAATTGGTCGGGGAATAAAGAGACACCAGTGACAAAGGACCGGTACTCAGGACCCAAACCAGCCAAAATAGTTTGAAGCATCTCTTTATCCGACACAGGAGAATTAATTGCCGCAAGGGCATCAACAACAGTTTTAATTTCCCTTAAATAGGATTCCATGGATTGGCTCTCTTTCTTCTTTATATTTGATAATAATCGTTTAAGTTCCATGCATCTGGGTAGACTAGCAGACATAAAGCGAGTCTGAAGTCTAGCCCAGATAGCAGCTGAATGTTTGAGGTCATGAACAT